AATTTCTTTTTGAAATAAGTTTGCAGATTTTATTTTTCAGATGTGTATTATATGGTTTGTAAGAAGTATATACTAGCTGTCATCGCGATGACAGATTGTGTTCACTGACACAACACGTTAAAATAAAGATACTAATAGCGTGCGCGTAGTGCGCGTCTATGTTGTGTTAATATGTAAAAATTGATAAAAATGCAAATCTGCTTTCGCGAATCACGAACTCTTCGTTGTCAAATAAAGCGATAGATCATATTAATCAATTATGGAATTACTTCTGAAGACTGTCTATGTCAGTCTCGGCAACGCGTGTCACATCGTCTAAGTGAATTTCAACAAGAGGTTACTTTGGAAAGAGACGTTACTCCGGTTGCCTCTACGCTCTTTAAATATCGAAGTACCATAAGTGACGGAGAAAGAGAGAGAGAGAGAGAGAGAGAGAGAGAGAGAAGGTGAAGCCATGTCGTGTAGAACTTCGGATGGAGATTAGAACGATAATGGGCGATCTTATAGCAGTCTGATAAAACTTGTAGGTGCACTTTCATCGTTCACATGGTTATTAGACGAGTACGTTACCTTTAAAGCTTCTCAACTAGTAGACGATGTAAAAAGCCAAAGTAGTCCGATTGAAAAAAATCGGATTACCTCTTGCTTTTTTAGAACATTCTTGTCAATAACAAACAATATCCGTTCGCTAAAGATTTTTCGAAGGAAGAAATGTATCAAAAAAATGTTGTAATTATTTTTTCACTGTAAACAAAATTTTACCGAGCAAAACGTGTGATATTAGGAAAACATATATGAAACGCACATTTCTAAATTGAGTTTTACTGTACAAAGAAAACGTTGCGTTGGGATTGAAACACATTGTACACAAATATTTAAATATTTAAACACGTTAGGGATCGTAACAACGTAATTAATTAATAAGCGGTACTTATTACGCGACCTATGTGTGTATACAAACACGCTCATGCAAATTTCGCACAGGATAGTCGGGATTTCTCCTCTTATCAGAAGATAAAAGCAGACGATAAGAGCATTTCTATTAGCATAAACACTGTAAGCCGTCGTAAGGTAACGCGTGCTTATCGTGCACCTTTGAATCTTGTCAGTACGACGAACCGTAGCGCATCATCTTTCCGTATCTTCGTGCATTGCCCGTAAAGTTGGTCGCCACGGAAAACGAGCGTCTTGTAATAACGTCGGATTTTACCGCCCGAATGAAAATGTCGTTTTCCACGCGATGTAAATGTCGCGCAACATAAAAGGTAATATCGCTCCAATTTTCGGGAAATTGTCGCACCCCGGTTTTGGGATGGGAGAAATTACCGTTAGAGCGAAAATCCTCCTCTAGATGGGACCGATAAAGGGCAAATTTTCCTTAGATGTTAGAAAATAAAGGAGAAACCAAGTTATTTGAAAATACATGTTGGGAAAGAGAAAACGTGAGAGAAACTCCTCGAAGGAGGAATGTTTTTTAAAAATTTGCGTACGCGAGCGCGCGCGCGCTCCCTGAGACTCAATTGAAGATACGAGAACCGGTCGTGTTAAAAAATTGAAAAAGAACTGCTCACAAATATATTTTCAGACGATATAAAATATTTTAAATTCACAAGAGAATAAAGGCTTTTTTCGTCGTTGATGCTTTCGGTCCGGAGATCGAATTTTATATCGGCTTTGTACAAAGGTGCCACGCCGCCGCACGCAAAATAAGACCGTTCATCGTCGAGAAAGGTTGACGCGGAGCGTAGCATGTACACAAAGAGATACCGACGAGAGCAGAAAAGCAGTAAGGAGTGAGAAATAGAGGACAAAAAATGGTTTCTACGTTGTTCTACCGACCTCCCTATTTTTCATCGTCCGACATCTCCCTTCCTACCTGTTTTTCTCTCTCCTCCCGACTGTTCTTTCATTTACGCGCGAGAGGAGAGGCTGAAAGCTCTTTTAGAGCACGCTCGTTCTCTTTCGCGCTCACATTTGTCTCCCGGCTTCTCTTTCCCGCGCTCGCGGATCTCTATTTCCTTTCATCAGATCCTCGCGTTTCCTCTCCCGCATTAATATACCGACGACTGGATTAAGCACGTCTACGGTTTATCTTCTTCTTGCAATGCATTTAGGCGTCCTCACACGTAGTTATTCGCCCTCTAGTCGGGATATAGAACGAAAAGCTCATTTACCAAGGAGCTTTGTTCCCTTCCCGCTACATGTCAACTCTCAAATCCGCGCGTACAGAGAAAGAGAGAGAGAGAGAGAGAGAGAGAGAGGGAAAGAATAACTTGACGAAATATATATAACGTCCGTTGCGATAGAAAGGTAAGCGAACGTGAGAGAATTATACGCGAGGATATCTCGCGACACTTGCGCGACTTTTCACGTTGAAATTCGACTTTCAAATGTGGGAAATCGTATCGATTTAAAATCCGCCGGCGCGAGATCTCCGTGCGCGCCACTTTCCACGCCGCCGTCGTCGTCCACGTAGGAATGAATAAACGAAACGCCAACCACAACGCGCGTCTTTCCAAACCTTAGCGAGAAGTTTCCGGGAAATCGCGAGGGAAGTATCCGTGACGGATGTGAAAATTTCGAAATCGGGAAACTTCATTTCGGAAAGTGAAACGAAAAGCGCACGATGCTCGAGGGAGAGAGAGTAAGCCGTAGAGCACAGCTCGATTGCGGCGAAATATACTAGGAGAAACTAGGTCGCCCGGACTGTGTAATGAGACGCGGAAGAATGAACATGTACACGACGATTGAAAGCTTTTAACGTAATCCTCCGAGTCTTAGTTAGACGATACAAAAAACTGCAATTAACTACAGTGGATTGTGCTTCGGCGCGTCGCCAATTTATTTCTTTTGATTACCGCGCCTACGTTCTTCACACTCCGTTTCACGCCGTTTCATTTTACTTGACACTTCTCACGTTTGTGCATCGATTCTTTTTATGTGGATTGCTGATTATGTGCTCTTACGTATATAAATATATGAGTGTGTGTCCTATCATCTTAATTGAAAAGATACGTGTAGTAGTAAAAACTCACGATAAACAAACGCGAGCAGAAAAAAAAACATTGATACAACTATAGAAACAGCAAACTGAATGACTCCCAGGTGGCAAAACTCATATACGTGTTTGTAGCAGTATCTCGTATAAAATACGTAAAAGAAAAAAGCAAACACACACGACCTCGCTCGCGTTGCTGTTTTCATCGAAAAAAAAAAAATCTAGCACCTAGTGTATTTAAAAAAAAAAAAAAAAAAAAAAAAATGCAATCAATTTTCCCGCAAAAGCGTTTTCTTATTTCCGCTCTCTCCGCCGCGCTTCATCTAAGTAATATATCTCTATCTATTTATATCTCCGAGAGCAAGAATTGTCGGTTTGCTTTACAGCGCGCGCTCGCGCGCAATTCTCCGCCTGCAATTAATCGAGAAAAAAGAAGAGATCCGAGGAATCTATCCACGCGAGAAACTTGGAGAATCGCAGAGTTGGGGAACAATTATAAATTAAATAATTTAAAAACACACACACAGACAAAACGTTTACATATATATATATATATATATATATATATATAT